TCAGGATAAGCACGTTCTATCTGCTACTTGATTCATGGTATTGATTCGTCAGTGAAGTACTCTTATTCAGTGGTGTCAAAACAGATCTCGTTACACCATGGATCAGTGAAAGGGATGCCATAAACGTTGTCCATCGTGAAGCTCCGAAACATATGCCTGTTTCTCGTGTGAATTGCAACTTGTTACAGTTAGTTAGTGCGACGCTTACTGCTTACTCTGGGTTTTTTAGGATTCGTTCGACTTTGATCGTACTGCCATCATTGGTCATTCGTTTGGCGGTGCTACAGTCATTGGAGCGTTGGCAGAATCGGAAGCCTTTAAGTAAATGCTTGCATTTGGAGATCGACTTGCATATTACACTCACTGTTGTTCCACTGTAGAGTCGGCGTTGTGCTCGATGGCTGGATGTTTCCACTGAGCGCAGACGTTTATAGCCGCGTTCCACAGCCGATCTTGTTTCTCAATAGCGACTCGTTTCAGTGGAAAGACAACATCGACTGCATGCGTCAGCTGTACTCGTCTGATGTCGAACGCACCATGTTCACGGTCAGGTGAGCCTCTCGTACGGTTAACCAACTTGATTGCGGAAATTTCTGCGTCATGGCTTCACTCTAGAACAAAAGTGGGTATTTATACATCCCGCAGGCTTCTGGCAGTACAGAGATCTTGCCTTCGTCATTTGAGGCCAAGAGAAACCTGCATGGCTATTCAACTTAGTTATACTTAGAATGGTTTTGAGATTTGTGTTTAGTATTGCTGCGTCAAGTCATCAGACTACTGCCATGTTTTTCTTGAAGATAACCAGAAATTATTTCTAAGGCAGGATGTCCTAAGAAATATGCACTTTGCAATATTAGACTGTCGCTTTGTAGCATTGTATATTGAAGTCAGACGCAGTATCTTCCTCTGAAACGCCGTGATAGGGACTTTTCTTTTCAGATGCGGTTATGGACATGTTCCAAGCTCCACTAGTAGATGCATGGTTTCTTCTACAAAACTAGTCAGCTACTTTATAGCATTTAACGCTAAGGTCACTTATTAGATTTAACAACTGTTATAACATCGCGATAGTGAGTCACGCGATTCGCAACACTTCTGACACTTCACTTTTCGATGTTGGCGATGTCAGTGTATCCGATTCCTTGCTTGCTGTCCTTTAGAGGTTGGGTTGTTTTGATAGTGATATCAACACCTGTTCCTGTAGTAGAAATAGTAAAATGCTTACTGTTCTACTGATGTTAAATTGATGGTGATACGCGTCGATGTTTGCTTGTCTCCGTTCATTGTGGCCCTGTTCATGGATACGCCAGTACTGACAGAAACGCGTGTCTCTAAAATTTTTCTACTTCTTATAGTGCTTCCAGTCTTAAAAACTAAAATATTCCTAATTTCTTTGGAATTATTCTCCAAGAAATGAATTAATATAAATTTCAGAATCCCGCATGTTGGTGTTTGCGCTGTCGCAACCAAGCTTTCTTGTATGTATTAATACCAGTAGTCTCCAGTCGTTCTGTCTTAGTTTGCTATCAAGGATAAGAGAATTGTTATGAGGACTGCTGTTAGTCTGTGAGGCTAGTATATTCCGTCTATTCTGTCGTTCAGCGTTTGTGACATATTCCAATGCATAAAGACTAAGGGTCATAAATTCAGTCGAGCTCATTGCTGTTCGTTAATCCAATATTTTAATGGCTGCCCATTTCCATGACATGACTTGAGGGTGAGTTTTTAGAACGTAGATACATGTAAAATTGATATTCGTAGTTATTTACCATTTAAATATCAAGCGGAATTGAATGGGATTAGTTACTATAGCATTTACATTTTCACTGCTGCTTGTCTTAACGAGAAATTGAATGCTGGGTGGTTTTGAAGCCTTCATTGTTTTTTTGGCATTCATTGTCTTCGGTGTGTGCCTGTGCGTGGGCTTGCGCGTGCGTGTACGCTTTTTGATCGGAGTTATTGTTGCCGATTCAGTGATACGCATGTTTCGTATACGAAATCTGCCGCTAACTATATTTACTTTTCAACTTTTCTCCTAGCTTTTAGTTTTCATTATGACAGATGGTTCTACCCGTAAGAGGCATTGTCACTGCGTGGAAATAATTTTGTAATCGTAACTGTTTCTTTTTTACAACTGGTATAAAAGTATTATAACTCACAGCACAGCAAATTTACGAGAAAGCTGAGCGACAACGTCAGTCATGTTCCAGATGAAACTCACTTGTGCGTTCCGCGTTTTGCGCCACTAAGCGTTCATCCATCTGTCGCTTCCGTAATAATCTATAGCGGGAATCGCGACCGAAAATGTTGGTCACTTATGAAAAGGGTAATGAAAGCTGCAGTATTATGAATTTTCCGAATATTGACATAATTCCTGTTCAGGTTTAAAGTTAACTTTTTGAACAAAATCGTCATGAAGTCTTACTTGTCAGTATAAATAATTATAAGTGTAATTTACTCCGTAACCCGAAAGTTTAAGCGGTCATCGAATATGACTGTGTAATTTAAATAAAGTATAGTAACGCTGTCCATCAGTTCTCAGGTTCCCGTATTAGTCCTTTCATATCGCTTGAGCAGCAGCTTCAAGACATTTATTCAATGGCCTTGCTACTCCTCCGGTCATACAGGCCTATGCGAACTGCATTCTATGTTATGGCAGTATTTGTCCAAGACGGCTTAGACATCTGGCCTTTGCCCTTCCACTTTGCCGCTTGCTATCTTTCTTCATATTCATCTTCCATGAGCGCTTCTCCTTTCGAGTCGTGGAGGCGGACGCATCAGACAGTGCTTCCAACGTTCCCGATCCTCTGTCAGGGTCTGATCTTTGACAGAAGACAACTGGAGTCTGGAGCAGATTCCTTCCTTATATTTGCTCCAAGTAAATCTTAGTCATTCCCTGGGCCTACTGCCAGTGGGCTGTGCAAGAAAGAGTTGTTTCGCCTTCCTTTCTGGAGGTATTTGCAACATATGCTCAAACTGTCGCAGTTCTGACTTCTCAGTCTGAAGAAGCAGCGGCTCTGCACCAAGGCTCTCGCGAATTCTTGT